ACGCCGTTGCACCAAAGGCAGTATCCGTACTTTTGACGAAGGTCATAGACATCCTTGGTTATCTTGTAAGCCGTCCATGGCTGCTGCCCAGTTCCCGTCGATGCCGTCTCTTGTGTCGCCTTATTCTTCCGAACTCTCTTGGGACGCTTCGGCGGGAGCGCTGCTACAATTCCTCCATCACTCGAGGATGCTGCTGCAGCGTGGAGATCGTCTGGACGTTGATAGCCATGCTTAGCCACATAATGCGGCAGGGACTGCCGTTCGTTTGCGGCCTTGTCATCCGTTTGGATGACCAAGTTTGCACGATCCAGAATGGCCTGGAATGAATCGTAATCGTACTCGTTGCCGAGTGCCGATCGCAGTCCTGCGCACGATCGCGAGAACAACTCGGATCGTTGATTGGTAAAACTCAAATCGAAGCCAGGCGTGGTCACTATCTTTTGCCACTTAGTTGTTCAGTCTCGAGTTGGCATACTACCTTGAGAGCAGGTGTACACCTCGTTCATGGCCGCCTTCACGACGTTGTGGACCATGAACCGGGTGAACCATAGCTTCTCGAACTCCTTCCACGTGATGTGTGTGTGGAGTTTGGCGATGGTGCAGTTGTTGGTAGCCGCCAGATGGTTCATCCAAGCCTGCGCTCCTCTAATCAGTTGCAAGTAAAGCGCCTTCATCATGTCGTCCGCCGGGACAGTGCGGCATGATGCTTCCGTGAGGAAACATTGCCACCATGTCAAGGAGTCCGACTTGTTGCAGTCATCGAACTTGCTGATGCCGAAGTGCGGCATCTTGTAAGTCTTCGTAGCGGCGTCCGGTCTCGTCCGCAACTTGGTGATGTCCGTCTTGATGGCGGCCACCGTACTACTGATCGTGTCCGGTCCATTGAAAACACCTATGTCGCCGATGAGTTTGACGACGTGATCGATGCGCCCATTGAGCTGCCTCGTCTCGTCTGTCGTGCAGCCTGGCGCTACTGAGGCCTTGACCTCAATGCCGTTGATGCGTGCGAGGGTAGAGTTCAACAGCTGTTGCTGTTGCTGCTGCTGCGTTGCTGCGTCGCGGACGGCAGCTGTTACAGCGGCCAGGTCTTGCTGGTACTGCTGTCGTTGCTGTCGTTCCGCGTGCAGGTGTGCCTGCAGCAGTTTGTTGTTCCACATTACTCCCCTCATCACATTCAACATCACGGTAGCCAGGTTACTTCTCTCTGCCTCCTCCTGTGTCGGCTCCGTCTGCGTTTCCGTAGGCACAAAGAACATGCCTTGAAGCAGTGTTGTCCACTGATTTTCACATGCAATCAGGGACTCCGTGCTGGCGGCATTCCGTCGGTCTCGTGCCACTGCGTCAGCCTCAGCAGTCTGCTGAGCTTGGGCTGCCGCCTCATTGGCCAGCCGCTGACGTTCTGCCTCTGCTGCCTCCTGCTGCGCCTTGGCGGCAGCTACGGCATCTGTAAATACCTGTAGCCGTCCCAGATAGTCAGCCAATGCATGCGGGAAGAACTCCGGTGGTGTCCGGTACTGTCAATGCTGTACTTGATGCTGCTGGAGTCTTCCGCTTGCTGAATCGCTTGGGTCTTGGAGGTACCGCAGAACGGGCACGAACTGCAAGCCTGGCACTGCGTCGTGGCAGTGCCCCGGTGTCCTGTTCCGTCGACATCAGTCTGGACTGATGTGGTACTTGAGAAGTCCCGGTGGTCCGGTGGTCACAGATTTCGGGGAGGGTAGAAAGAGAGTGGGCACAGGGGTAGAACAATCAAACAATACACATGCAGTCCCCTGTCCCACTGATGTACTGTAGACACCTAATCAAAACAGAAAAAATAAATTTCCCGCAAACAATTCAAAAATTCGTAATAAGAAATAAAATTAACCAATTATTTAATCAATAAAGTTAATTAATGATAAATAACGAAATAATAACTCTTAATGATAATCAATAACACAATGTTTGTAATAAAGATAATCAATAACCAATTTTGAATTGTATCAAGATTAGGTATCCGTTGAGATCATCTTTAGTCCGGGAGTTCACCGTTAATTAGTGAACTACCCGGAAGTTGCAATACTGACGGTCAGAGTCGGACTAGTTTGCCGAAAAAAATCAGGGAAAAACACTCGAATTTTCAAAAACGTGAACTTTTGGGAATTTCCACCGTCAAAATCCGATTTTTAACGGCCTAAACCTGTTTTCGGAATTTCTCGAAACAAAGGAAAGAAGAAAATTTCCGCGAAAATTTCGGGCCCAACCCTAATTTTCCGCGTTTCGACGGAATTTCCAGATTTACGGTTCCCAAAACGTTCGAATTTCCCAAGTTGCGTGAAAACCAAAATTTTTGTAACCCTAATTTCCAATACTACAAGCAATCGGAAATGCCGACTTGGAAAACGAAATACAGGATTAAAATCAGAATGCCGAGATAAACCAGAATACTGATTTAAACCTAATTACGAATTCCTAATCAGAAATCCGAATCAAGCAGAATGTCGGATTAGTATCAATTAATCGGAACTCAAATAAACAGCATACCGGAACAAAACAGAAATCTGAATTATAAGTCCGAATACCGAATGAAAATGGAAATGCTGAAATAAATAGAATGCCGAAGAAAAGAAAAAAAAAATTTGCAACTTTGAACTTGATAGTAATACAGCGCTGAATTGGAAGTTTGAAGAAACAACTAATTCCTAACTCAGACTTACCTGGTGAGCAGATCCGTAAACTGGTCTGCTCCGATACCAAAACTTTTACATACTTCAATGAGTATGGGCAGAACCAAAGATCAATCAATGTAGGATGAGCATATATGCAGCAGAAGTCTGATAAACGGACTGACTCACATAGACTGACTCACATAGATCACTCCACACACATACAATCGTGAGATGGTGGGGTCTGGGCCAAGCATGGACGATGCCCAGATCCCGTACACACATACACAGATGAAAGGTGGGAGGAGAGACGAAGGAGGGGGGGGAGGTAGATAGCACCGATAGGTCACCGAGATAGAATCCGATAGGTCACCGATATGGTAGTCCGAAATGTCATCCAACAAGATCAAAATGTCGAGGACAATCAGTCACCAATGTCGGAGATACAGAGTCCAAATGTAACCGGTGTCCGAACTGTGATGCCGCCAAGTATCAACCCCAACAATCTCCAAGTCTCCAATCCGGTAAGTACCACAGTCTC